AGAGGTATGTTTAATCTGCTCATTCTGTTTGTTCGAGTGCAGAACGCACAGTGATTGCTGTGATGAAGAAAGGACGAAGAAAAAGGGAGTGAGATTACAAAGTCTCTCTACGATAACACACTGAACACATCTGTTTCTGCTTGCAAGGTATTTTCTGTGACACGCTGAACAATACTGTTACTGCCTGGAAGCTCAGGATTCAGCTCCCGCACGCACGCTGCAGCTTTTTTTAAAAAAAAAGAAGGTTAACCCCCGGTCTCATCTGCATCATTCGATGCACACAGCGATTTTATTTAGAAAATAGTCCAAAAGTCTCCTCAAGTGGTCTCTAAAGATCATAAAGAAACAAATGCCACACGCGGCCAAAAGTAAAAAAAGCCACAACCGGCTATAATAGATCAAGATGTCTACACACCTAGCCTATTACTAAACCGCCATCCATATCGGTTGTATGTATCTCGTGCAACCATTTCCCATCGGTTGCACCCAATAGCCATGTGCTCCCTATGGTTCGTATGGCTTAGCATGGACCACGCACGGATACATGTAGACGCTCTGAAGATGACCTGCAAAAAATTAGTAATGTTTTGTCTGTTAAAGGCAACATCATTCCGACAATTCCATAACGCCCAAAGCAACGCACATGCTCCGACTCTGATTTGTGCAGCTGTCTGAGGTGCCACCCCATTCAGCCAGTTATGAAAAAACTGTGATATTGAAGTTGGCGGAGTGATGTTAAAAGCAACATGAATAGTTCTCCAAAGTAATCTAACAATCGGACATTTAATAAGTAGATGTTCAATTGTTTCATTCTGGTCACAAAAGTAACATCGTTGACTCCCTTCCCAATTGTGTTTGTCTAGATTATCTTTGGTTAAGATTACACCTTTGTGAACAAACCACATAAACACTTTTATTTTCAACGGCACCTTAATTTTTCAGATATGGCCCGACCTCGGGATGTCTCCAGTATTGATTAAATCCGTATACATTTATTTAACCGTGAAAACACCTGACCCCGTTAACTTCCAACTTATCGTGTCATTGGCATCCGAAAGATCAATCTCCATTAACACCACGCTGCAGCTATATGATGATATTTTTTTGTGTGTGTGGGTCTGTGATATTTCTTCAGGTTTAAATCCATGGTGTTTCTCCATTCCAAACTAGTCGAAGTTCTAGCTTTGTTCCAAGTCAAACTTCCCCATATTTGATCAGAATCATATAAAAACGTGCTAACATCTTTGGATTCTTTTTGGAAAATAAATCTATGACAAATAAAAATGAAACTAATTTGGTGTTGTAGATGTTGATGTACTCTTTCTGTAGATTTGGTCAAAATTTTAAAAAGTTCAACTTTGGTAGGAAGAAGAAACTATAACCCGCAAAAAAAAAGGGCATCAGAGGTACTTTCCTTTGTAATAAAGGAACATAAGACTTTAGTGATCGAAGGTGGTGTTTGATTCTCTAGTTCTAGGATTTTTTCTAGTCCCAACTAAAAAGTCTCTAGTCTCTAAAAAATCTCTCCCTGTTTGTTTCCAGAGACTAAAAAGTCATTAGTCCCTTCCTAGAGGTTATTAAATGACCATGTTGCCCCTAGTATATAGAAAAATAACAATCAAACAACACCATGGGGTGGCGGGCCAATGGGTGCATGGAGGGGCATTGTTGAAAAAGTCTCAAAAAGTCCCAAAAAGACTCTCCTTGAGAGTCTTGTTCATTTAGTCCCAAATGTCTAGTTTAGTCCCTAAAAAGTCCCTCCCGCTTGGTAAAAAAGTCTCTAAGAAACAAACACCCCCTAAAAGGTCTAAGGGCATGTACAATGGTTGATAAGGTAGTCTTATCTTAAGTTTTGCATGTAATTTAGAGATGACAAAGAAAAATGTTTACAATGGGTCATCTCTTAGCCTTATCTTCAATAATTAGCAATTCCTAAAAATATGGTGAGACATATTGTGCTAAGAGATCATCTCTTGTCTTATTTTAAATAAGAGAAGACAAGCCTTCTCTTATGAGTTCTATCTTCTCCACCTCATCATTTATCCTACATGACACTCTTAAGATAGCACCAACTAATCAGTTGTTTTTCGCAAAAAAAAGAAGAAGAACTAATTAGATGTCCAAGTAAACGGAAGAAACCGGTGCCCGGCCGGCCATGGCTTAAAACATGCCGCTCAAACCGGCAACGGGGCGTAACGGGATGTGCAAATGCCGAATGCTCTTTCTCTGTAGAGCCGCAGGTGCCGAACGCCGGGCGGTCGCAAAGATAGATAGATGGAACCTGCACCCACCACCGAAGCCCAAGGTCGCCGTCATGCACGCTGGCGCGACCACCGAATTGTTTTTCCTCGTGACTCGGTGGCCGCGACACGTGTGCGCGTACGCGGGCCACCAGACACGGGGAGGGACGTACGTACGTACTCCCTCCGTTCCAAAATAGATGACTCAACTTTGTACTAACTTTAGTAGAAAGTTGAGTCATCTATTTTGAAACGGAGGGAGTACTAGCTAGCTAGTGCCACGGCGGGGATCCCGTGCTGCCGCCACCACCACCACGCACCGAGGTCGATCGACGGGACGCGGGCGGGTCACGAGTTCACATGTGCAACAACTCCGGCGGAGGGGATCGAGGCCGGCAGCGACAGACCGCGTAGCTGCCCTGAAAGCGGGAGCACGGCCGTCGCCGTCCGTCCGCCCGTCTCCCCTTTTAACCCGTAGTCCATCTCGCCCTCGCGGTCGACGGTGGACTCACGAGTGCGCGCGCGCGCGTGCCTTCCGGGAAAGAGCCGGAGTAGTTGGCGTCGACCGGGACGTCTTGGGTACAGGAATATTTCGAGCGGGCGAGCATGAGATGGGCGTGCATGCATGCGTCCGCATTTGTTGTTGGTTTCATGTTTCTGTCATCACGGGACGCCGTACGTCCGGCCGGCCGGGGATCACAAGAAGTTTGCCGCCTGCTCCATTCTCGAAAGGAACTATATCCACATACTATAGGATTCTGTTTGCTGCAACGTGCTAAATAAATGAGAGCTGTTCCTACTTGAAGCTGGCTTTCTGTGAAGTAACAAGTTTTCTTCTGGCGATCGAGGTTTCTCGCTAATAACTAATAAGAGAAGCTGCGATGACATATAGTACAACTCAACAGCTCACCGTCTCATTCTCATGCACGCCCATTTCATCATGCAACTAATCGTAGGTGAAAAAGAGGAAGATGCGTACGGCGTCCGTGTCACGCTCGCATGCTTGCCGGGCAGCCCCAAAAGCGCCTCAACCCATGAGCGTGAGCGAGCGGATCACGCGAACCTCGCCTCCCAACCAACCACGGCATCACAGGGGCACACTTTCGACCCTTGCTCCTCCTGTCACGCACGCGCGCATGCAGCGGCGTCATGCCGTTCCCATTCCCTCTC